TCTGACATGCAAGGCAAGTGCTCTACCACTGAGCCACCTTCTTAGCCCTTGTCTCTAGAATTTAAATAGAGGCTGAATGCCAGTGGCTCACCCCTATAATCCTAGCTATTCAGGAGGCTGAGGTCTGAGGATCACAGTTCCAAGCCAGCCTGACAGAAAGTCTGTGGAACTCTTATAGCCAATTAACCAGCAAAAAGCCAGAGATGGAGGGTTGGCTCAAATAGTAGTACACCAGCCTTGAGCAAAACAGCTAAGCAACAGTGTGAAGGCCTCAGTTCAATTACTAGCCCCAATACTGGTACTCACATGCACACACACACACACACACACACACACACACACACACACAGAATATAAGTAGAACTCCATGAGGGAGAGACAGAGAGAGAATTCTTTCCTTCTGTCCCTCTGTCTGTCTGCCTCTCAGACTATTAATACAAGCCTATGCCTGGCTGCACCCCAGAACATGTGCTAAGCCTGTTGTTTTTTGTTTCTGATTGGCGCCAGGCTCATAGATTCCCGTGTAGGTGGCATATAACTTTCCATAAATAACCTCTAACCTGACCTACAATTTAGCTTTTGGGTTTTTAGTTTGTTTGTTTCCCCTTGTGGTAATGGGATTGTAGTCCCAGCTGATCTCTCCTGGATCCCTGGATTGCACAAAGCAGGCCCATGGTGTGCCTGGGTTTGGGCCCATCAGGAATTTCTGGTTCCTCATGTGCCTGTGGTAACACAGAGCATGCTGATGAATGGCAGATAGATTCTCTGCCACCTATGACTGTGCAAGCCTCCAGGGCCTTTGCTCAGCTTCTATCAGGATCCCTCTATTCACTGGGCAAGCACACAACAGTGCCCCATTCCCTGACCATTCCTTTTTATTTTTTTTAATGCTAGTACTAGGACTTGAATTCAGAACCTAGGCACTGTCCCTTAGCAGCAGCAGCAGCTGCTTCTTCTTCTTCTTCTTCTTCTTCTTCTTCTTCTTCTTCTTCTTCTTCTTCTTCTTCTTCTTCTTCTTCTTCTTCTTCTTCTTCTTCTCCTTCTCCTCCTCCTCCTCCTCCTCCTTCTCCTCCTCCTTCTTTCTTTTTGTTGGTCTTGGGTTCAAAACTTAGGGCCTAGGCACTGTTCCTGAGCTTTTTTGCTCAAGGCTAGCACTCTTCCACTTTGGGCCATAGCTCCACTTCCAGTTTACTGGTGGTTAATTGGAGATAAGAATCCCAGACTTGTTGGGGCTGGGAAGGTGGCTCAGTGGTAGAGTGCTTACCTCACATGCATGAGGCCCTGGGTTTGATTCCTCAGCACCACATAAGCAGAAAAGGCTGGAAGTGGCGCTGTGGCTCAAGTGGGAGAGCACTTGCCTTGAGCTAAAGAGCCGAGGGACAGTGCCTGGCCCAGAGATCAAGCCCTACAACTGACCAAAAAAAAAAAAAAGAATCTCACAGACTTTCCTTCCCAGGCTGCTTTTGAATGGTGATTCTCAGATCTCAGCCTTCTGAGTAGCTAGGATTACAAGCGTAAGCCACTGGTGCCAAGTATTTTGGTCTTTTTAGCTTTTTTTCCCCTCAAAGCTGAGGGCCTTGAACTTGCTAGGCAAGAGATCTTCCACTGAGCTAAATCCCAGCCCCAGCTTTTTAACTTAAGGCTGATGCTGTCACTTGAGCCACAATTCCACTTCAAGCTTTTTGCTGGTTAATTGGAGATAAGAGTTTCATACATTGTCCTGCTTGGATTGGCTTTGAAACTCGATTCTCAGATCTCAGCCTCCTGAGTAGCTAGGATGGTTGGGCTAGGCATGAACCACAGACATTACCACAGAACCAAGGTGTCATGCCTGGTTTCAATCACACTTGGGGCAGAAGAGTATGGCCCAGTAGGCCTGGGCTCTGCATGGCTTGAGGGAAAGCCAGAGTGAGGAACTGTACCCAGGTCTGACTGTGGAGAAAACTATTAACCCCGTGGTGCCTCAGCATCAGACTCAAACCCATACCTGGCTGCAGAGTCCTCGTCTGCACAGTATCCTATACAGTGCTATACAGTACTCTACAGTGCCCTTGGGATTGGTCAACATCTTCGTTTCCTGCCTTCTCTGGGATCTTCCTCACTGAGGCTTCTCAGGAACCTGGAGCTGCAGACAGGAGCAAGTGGTAGATCACTAGCCTTAAAGTGAGAGAGTTCAGGGACAGCATCCAGGCCCTGAGTTCAAGCTCCATGACCAACAACAACAACAACAAGAATATAGGAGAATTCATTGAGAGTTGAACTGAGAGCCCACATGAGAATTTATTTGGGAGATATAGGAACCATAAGATAGAGTGGACTTGATTTAAAACACAGTAGTTGCCAGGTGCCAATGGCTCATGCCTATAATCCTAACTACTCAGGAGACTGAGATGTGAGGATCACTGTGCCATCAGACCAGATAGGAAAGTCCATGAGACTCTTATCTCCAATTAACCACCAAAAAGCTAGAAGTAGAGGTGTGGCTCAGTTGGTAGAGAGCTAGCCTTGAGTGAAAAAGCTAACAGCATCCAGGCCTTGAGTTCAAGCCCCAGTGTACACACACACACACACACACACACACACACACAGAGCACTGTAGTTGCTCATCTCTCCTTACTACAAATGGGAGTCCCAGCTGTGTGTAGGACTACTAGGAACTTTGGTAGACAAGACTTTGAGAGATGAGGTTTCTTTTCTTTTTGTCTGAGACGAGGACTCGAACTCGTTAGTTGACACTTTTGCTCATTGGCTGGCAATCTACCAACTGAGCCAAGCGTCTAACCCCTAGATGTTGTTTCCACATGGGAAGATCCCACACTTTCCTCAGAAGGCATAAAATTCCCATTGGGATAAAAGCTTGGCTGAGCTCCCTTGAGACTGGTACTGCATTGTAGAGGGCCCAGTTTATCCTAGGACTAAGCAGGGTCTGGCACAGGTGGGCCTGGCTGGGCTACACAGATACTCCATGAATGAATGTCTAGTGGAAGACCTAGAATTAGGATCCAGAGTAATGGCCAGACTCCAGAGGACAGAGGGCTCCTCAGAGATCGAAACATCTCTGGAAAGCTCAGGAATGAGGTCACAAGTAACCCTAAAGAAAGTAGGAGCAGGGTGCTGGTAGCTCACGCCTGTCATCCTAGCTACTCAGGAGGCTTAGTTCTGAGCATTGTGGTTCAAAGCCAGCCTTGGCAGGAAAGTCTCACAGACTCTCATCTCCAGTTAGCCACCAGAAAACTGGAAGTGGTGCTGTAGCTCAAAGTGGTAGAGCACTAGCTTTGAGCAAAGGAGCTTAAGGACAGAGTTCAGGCCCAGAATTCAAACCCCAGTGGTACACGCGCGCACACACATGCGTGCACGCACGCACACACACACACACACACACACACACACAGAGTCAATTGTAAGGTTTGGGCCTTGTGGCCAAGTAAAAGGTGTTAGCTGACAGAAATGACATCGTGTATGGTTCGTGAAACAGGACCACATCCTCTTGGTCACAATTCATTGTCTTTATTAACAAAGGCTCTGAACGCCAAAGAGAAGAGTCTGTACATGAAGCAATATTAACATTGCCATTCTCTACAAGGAAAAAAAAAACCTCTGCATTAATAACTTAAATGAGAAAATAAATATGTCACTTAACTCTTTCAAAACCACAACTTTCATTTCTTGTGGACAAGTGCCACACGAAAGGATCACAAAACCCACCAGGCCTGCCAGCTCTCTTCTGGCATGTGTTTCCATTAAAAACATTTTTTTTAAAACAAAACAAAACAAGAAGTACACAGAAAGTCAGAGGTGTCTGGAAATGATTTTCAAGAAGGCTTGTGGGTGGCAGCTTTGGGAGTTCTCAGCGTTTATGTACAGCACTTGTAATCCCCTAGAATGTTCTTTTAATGAAGGACATACCGCCACATGTTGAGAGCAGTGTGAAGCTATTTTCCTAGCCAAAAACGTGTCTGTGGAGGATGTGCAGTGGGGGGCACATGCTGGACTTGGACAGTGCAGCATCCTTGGACTTGAATGTCTCTGCAGTAGAGTGACTTTACAATAAGACCCTGGAGAAAGGGAAGGACATTGACCTTTGGGAAGTGGATGTGGGTGTTGGAGGCCAGTGCCATGATTTCTGTCCCTCCCACCATCGCTGAGACCCCTCCTCTTGACCCTAAGAGATGATACTGTTTCTTTGAGATGGGGGATGAGGTGGAGGTAGCCAATGTTTGGGGACACAACTCAACTGCTTTTTAAGGAGTTTGTCAGCATTTTTTTTTTGGGGGGGGGGCTTATTTTCAAGGTTGTCAGACCACATCTGCAACCTAAGTCTGAAATTGAACTCTGGGAATGAACTTGACCATGACTCAACCCATCCCGTCCCCTCTCTGTTCTCCCCTGCCCCCTGTGAAGAGCAAAGTGAGTCCTTCCAACCTTATGACGGTCCTGGTGATCCTATGCCACCTGCACCCCATGTTCACAAAGAGGAGATGGAGGTCCTATATGGCATAGGCCAAGGTCCCTCAGCAAGTTAGTGGCAGAACCATGATCGGAAACCCTGTCTAGTCCTTGGCACACTGGTAGGCTTTATGATGGGCAGAGAGGGGAAGGATGGGGAGGGGGGATCTTAGTGAACTTTCTTCCACACTCTATGGACTGTCCACCCCCCCACCCCCCACTGCTCCCTTAGATTCCCCAGAATGGGGAGGGGGGGGGGGAAATGGCATGTTCTGAAGTGAGATCTGGGCGACCCCATGGGCCGGACTGTGTGGCTCAGTGTCTGTGTCTGTGACTCAGTTCCCTCCCCCTGCGGGACCTCCTTGGGGGGAGGGGGAGGGGCTTTGCGGGCACCCAGGATTCTGCCCTGCCTGGGGGGGAGAGGGGGTTCAGGCCCCTTCCGGTCCTGGGGTGCGAACACTTAAAAATTAAAAACAAACAAACAGTAATGGAGCCGCGCAGAAGGGCAGGAAGGGAGGCCCGGGTGGGGGCGCGGCGCAGCGTGGACTTCTTATCTAGTATGCGTTCTCCAGCTCAGCCTGGTTGGCCTTGGGGCCCCGGGTGCGGGGCCGGGGTTTGCGGCCCTTGTGCGGCCGCGCGGTGTCGAAGTCCTTGAGCTCGGAGCGGTTGTGCGAGCGCGTGAGCCGCTTGCATTTGCACGAGGCCACCAGGCGCACCTTGCGCGCGCGGGGCGCGGCGCCGCCCGGGCACAGCAGCTGCACGCGCTGCGCGCGGTAGCCGTCGGGGATGCAGCGGAACTCCGGCCCGTTCGGGCGCCACCATTTGCCCCGGCCGATGGCATTGGGCAGCAGACGTGCGGGGCCGCACTGGCCCGAGCACACCAGCTCGGTGACCGGCTTGGCGCTGCGGCACGGCCCATCCGTCACATAGCGGGTGTAGTGTAGCTCCTGGCAGCTGTACTCCGACACATCTGCAGAGACAGACAGACAGAGGCTTGCGTGAGAGCTACGGCCTGGGCCCCTCCCCCACCTGCCCCAGCGGCCGGCTGGCCAGACGTCTCCTGTCCTTGCTGCCCCTAGCCAGGCAGCTTTGCACCCTGCAGGTGTGGTGGGTAGAGAACTCCCCAGCCCATCTCCTCCACTTGGAACCAAGAGACTGCAGAGGCCAAACACCAGGGCTCCAAGATCACTTACTTGCCCTAGTTGGGCAAGTGACTTTCCCATCTGTGAAATGGGTTTCCCCAGGATTTAGGGGCTCACTCGCTGCCTAGCTACTGGCTACTGGCACAGAACATCATTTGGTACCCAGTGAGCACCAAGTGTTAGCTATGCATATAATGTGTGTGTGTGTGTGTGCCAGTACTGGGACTTGAACTCTGGGCACACTTTCTCTTGGCTTTAAAAAAAAAAAAAAGGCTAGCCCTCTATCACTTGAGCCACAGCTCCACTTCTGGCCTTTGGTTGATTAATTGGAGATAAGAGTCTCACAAACTTTCCCACTTGGTCTGGCTTCGAACCATGATCCTCAGATCCCGGCCTCCTGAGCATTTAAGATTACAGGTGTGAGCCACCAGGATCTGCCTTATAATGCCTTATTCATTATTCCTCTTCCTACTGAAGCCACTGCTGTGCCTGTACTGGACTTCCACACTAGCCACACCTTGCATTCAGCTCTGCCTCCTCCTAAATTCCTCTTCCAGAGACTTGGGAGGCGTGGACAGGAGATGGAGAAAGGAGCAGAGGTTAATTGGAGGTAATAAATCAGGACAGCTGCTGGGCAGGGAGGAGTGGACAGGCAGGTGGTCAGGATAAGGATTCATTAGACTTGAAAGGAACCGAAGGCCATGTGCCCAACCCCCTCATTATCCAAGGGGACCCTGAGGTCCAGGGAGAGAAAAGGCAGAGCAGGGACTCCTGACTGTCTTCCCTAGGGTCCTATCTCCAAAAGATGGGAGCAATTGCTCAGGTCCCCATAGTGGGTGAGGAGGGGTGTGCCTCCAAAACAATTACGTCTCTACCAGAAGGAGACAGAGCTCTCCAATCTTGCAGTATCAACTGCCACAAGCAATTATTAAGCGTTTGCTGTATACAGGCTTTCTGCCGCAGGCAATTATTGAGTATTTTCTGTATACAGGCGTTCTGCCCTGTTCTGAGTCACGCAGGGCATCTGACATGAAATCATCTGTTCCCTGGTTTGGGAGGGCTGAGGGGACATTAGTCTCTGGGGAACTGGCCTGGACCTCTGCCAGACACACGTTGACTGTGACTCTTTCTGTGGGAGCTTTCATAAATTGGTTGGTCCCCACATGAGCACCCCCAAAGGTTTCACAGGGACGATTCCAATAGGACCCGAAGATTTAAGAAAAAAAAATTCCTAAAACCAAACCAAAGAAGGGCAGCAAGCCTGGCGGGGGAGAAGAGACCTTGCCTTCCTCCTGTGGCCAGGGATTCTGGCTCTAGGCTGGTTTGGCATCCTCAGCCCCTAGCAGGGGTGGCAGGTCGGGGAAGGAGTTGGTTTGGGGCTTTCCAAGAATAGTGCCCTCAGTCAGGTACTTCCTCTGCAGAGGGAGACTTTGAGCTCGTGGCTTCCTCAGGGCCGTAGCCTATCCTGGGAGCCCAAGAGGGTTTTATGTCTGTGTGCAGGGTCGTCATCAACCTTCAAGCAATCCTTTGGGCTCAACTGCCCTGAGCTGCCTGGGACATGAGGTGAGGTGCTCTATCCTGCCCTGGAGAAGACCCAAGGCGTTGTCTGGCCTCTGGGGTCACCTCTTCCCCGTCATGGCTCCTCTGGCTGACACGGGACAGTCCTCCTACCCAGAACCCTGGGCAGGGGGCTTCTCTCCTGCCTGGATAATGGCCACCGGGCAGCGAGGCCCTCATTCTGAAATATCCCAGCCTTCCCTGTCCCCGCTCAGCTGGACCTGCCAGCTCTGCCCATGACCCCCAGTCCCCTAGCCTCGGCTTCTCTGCACAGGTATGACCAGGAACCTGGATGTGGCCACCATAGGGCCAGTACTTTCTCTGAAGGAGGCTAAGCTAGGGCTGAGGTGGCTGCTCAGGACAGTGGTGACATGTGTCCCCCGACCACACAGAGTCACTGCCATCTCCAGCTGCCGCCCACATCAGAGACTCAATCAGCACCTACGACTCCCTTTCCTTTCACAGCCAGCCCTGGGCACCCCCTGGGCAAAGGGAGATGGCAGGGGGCGCTCTTACCTCTGTCTCTCCTGCTTTATGGGGATCTCGATCTCCATATTCCCCTCCCAGCAGGCTGTCTTGCAGCTGAATTAAACTGGGCTCAAATCTCAACTCTTCTACTGGGTACCAAGCAACTGTCTTCTTCGACTGGGGCTCCCAGGGCTCCCGTACTGGGGCCAGAAACTGGACCTGGCTCCTATGTTGTCAGGAGAGGGTTCCTGTAATAAGCCCTCTGGGTCTGTACTAATGACATACCCTCCCCAGCTCAGCCTCTTCCCTGCCCTGGACTTTCCTATGCCAACCCCTCTGCCCATGCCCTTGAATTTTAAGTCTTCTAGATGCCATCTTCCTCCTGCCTCCAGGAAAGCCTCTCTCTCCAAAGCCTCCAAAGAGAAGTTTCTAGAAGACTCTAGAAGATTCTCTGCTCGTCTCCCAAGATGTTCCTCTAACTCATACCTTTGGCCTCAAAGGGGTGATGAGGAGGTCTCCCTCCATTCTCTGCCCGGTTCATGGTCTTGTTCTCTGCCTCTGGAGGGGGCTCGTGGTACTCCCCGAGTTCAGGAATGATTTCTGTGGCATCATTCTTGAAGGTCTGCCACCCCTGGCCCTCCACGGCTTGGAAGGCTGCATGCACCAGCAGGCAGAGGAGACAGAGGGCTAGAGAGAGCTGCATGGTGCCAGCCACAGGAGGGCACTGGCCTTCCAGTAACACAGGCTCCGGTCCCCCAGCCTAGACACACTTGCCTTTTTAAAGCCCCCTCCACCTCGTGCCAGCCAATGAGGGTGGGCTGGGCTGGGGCCAGTCCTGAGCAGACCTCAGCCCCGGGGGAGGGGACAGGGGTGTGCCCAGAGCAAGCCCTTCCCTGTGTGCCCCCCCCCTCCCCAGCTCAGCAAACTTCCAAAGTGCTGCTGGCACTCAGGTGGCCCAGAGAAAGGAGGGTGTGTGAAACAGGGTGCCCAAAGCCTGGCACCTCCCACGGGCAGGCGGCAGCCGGCTGTGTTTTTCAGATATCAAAATGAACTCTGGCTTTTAATTGTCTGCCTTCCTGGGCCCTTGGGCATTCTAGAAACAAACTGTGAATCAGCTTAACAAAGAAAATACTAGACTCTGCCTGCTCCACAGGCTGTGGCTGAGGCCAGCTGATCTTTCTCAGACCAAGTCTATTTTTTACCCCCACTCACCAATGGTTGTCTGTCCCCCACTCAGACCCAGCCAGAGGCAAAAGGAGGCTTCCTTGTTTCAGGGTACTACGGACCAAACCCAGGGTTTCAAGCATATTAGGCAAGTGCTTTACCACTAAGCTATGTCCCACTTCCAAGAAAAATGTCTTTTTAGGAAATTCTAGTGGTTGCTGGGCACTGGTGGCTCATGCCTATAATCCTAGCTAGTTAAGAAGCTGAGATCTGAGGATGGAGGCTTGAAGCCAGCCCAGGCAGGAAAGTTCATTAGACTATGATCTCCAACTAACCAGCAAAGAGTGGCGGGGTGGGGGTGGGGGTGTGGGGGGGAGACAGAAGTGGAACTGTGGCTTAAGTGGTAGAGTGTTAGCCTTGAGCAAAAAAGCTAAGGGACAGGGCCCATGCCTAACCACGACTGGTGTGCAGGCTGGAGTGGGAGTGGACCACACAAAATTCCATGTGTGTATATGTGTCTATGTGTGCACATGTGTGCATGTGTGTGTACACGTTTGCATGCACACACACACTGTTACTAGGGCTAGAGCTCAGGGCCTTACACACTTACTTGGCTTTTTCAAGGTTGGTGCTTGAGCCACAACTCTATTTCTTTTTGCTGGTTAATTGGAGATAAAAAGACTCATGGATTTTTCTGCCTGCATTGGCTTGAAACCACCATCTTCGGGATTACAGACATGAGTCACCAGGGCCCAGTGGCCAACACATTGAGAGCTGACTTTTTATTTGATCTTCTGGCTTATCAATCCATACTTTATGGAAAACCAGCTTTGAGTCTTCTACAGGAAGCGTTGAGCAGTACCTACCACCGTGTGCTCCAAGAACCCATTCCCTGGTCAGTCCAGGCAAGTAGAAACTAAAAAGAACTTGCTAGGTCAGCCTGGAGTAGCAGTAGGGCCTGGGGGACTTGGCGAGGCAAGGGTCAGGAAGGTTCACACCTGAGGTGTAAGTGAGGAAAGGAGGCTGGCAGGAGCCTTCGTTGGAGAGCGATGGTTGGAGGCTGCCCCAGCCCTGGGGAGAGGCTGGGTCCGGTCACCTGGGCATGCCAGCCGGGCGATGAATCAGTGTGCCTCACCTGCAGAGATTCTGCAGTTTTGTCACCTGCCTTGACTTGTAAGTCGCTGTGTCCATCTGTGGCCGACTGACTCCGTTTTGTCCATCATCGATCACCCGACACATGAATGCAGCTGTGCTGACAGTTTTACAAGCCAGACAGAAGTCCCTACAGGAAGGGCCTCTGATACCTGCTTCCTAAGTCAGTTTCCTTCAGGGCAGACAAAAACAGCTGTGTCCATTGTTGGGAGTGATCTATCTCTCCTGACAGAGCCACTGGTATTGTGAGAAGCTGGCCCTCTATGGCCCCTCTCTTTGTCTGTGACCCCCCCCCCTCCCCAAACTCCCACCACAGCCTCCTTTTCCTCTGCTCTGGAATGTAGACTATTAACCCTGTTCCTGCCAGACACCTACCACCAGACAGGAGTTGAAGTTCCCACTGTGCTTCTTGAAACTCAGATGGATGCTCATGGCTCCACCTACTGGTAGGAGCCGTCATGACACCCGCCTTAAATAGAAACTGGTGGTGTTCGGTTTTTGGAATACATCTGCCATCTGCTGGACACAAGAGGAGTTGCCAGCAAATGCAAGGATTCTATACTATTTTACTTACGATTTTTTTTGGGGGGGGGGCGCGGGAGGAGGGTCGGTCCTGGAGCTTGAACTCTGGGCCTGGGCGCCGTCCCTGAGCTCTTCGGCTCAAGGCTAGTGCTCTACCACTTGAGCCACAGCGCCACTTCCGGCTTTTTTCGTTTTGCTTATGTGGTGCTGAGGAATCGAACCCAGGGCCTCAGGCATGCAAGGCAAGCGATCTACCACTGAGCCACCTTCCCAGCCCTGCTTACGATTTTATGGAGAACCAAAATAGGAATTTTCATAGGAAGACTCAGAAGGACCTGCTGCCATATCTGCCATTTGCTCTTTCATTTCACGTGACACCACAGACAACTCTTTCCTGGGACCACAAACTTGTCATTATTCAGTTCTACAATGTTTTCAGGTGTTAAATCTGCAGGGTTTCTGGCTGATTTCTGTTGTGGGTGGTTTAGGTTATTTACAATCTTCTTCATTCCTAGTAAGACTGCTGTGAACATCTTTGTATAAAGTAATTTTAAATTCATTAAAGGCTTTGAGATGATTCTAAATTCACAGGCTCTTGTAAGAACTGAGAGATTTTGCACACCCTTTACTGAGTGTCTCCCAGTGCTAACATCCTGTGAACCTATAAGCACAGGTCACAACCCAGATGTTGCACAAATGTGTGCATTCTACACAATTGTATGTGTGCATTCTACACAATTGTATGTGTGTAGATCTGCTCATCCATCCATACAATCAAAATAATGAACAGCTCCTATTAGTCTTTTATAATGACATCTACTTCCTTGGAGAGTTCTCTATGTTATATGTATCCGAAACTTAGTTTTTGTTTGTTGGCTTAAAAAAAGCTAAGATTCTTTCTAGGTAGAAACAAGCCTTAGGCCTGGGGAAGTGAACCATTTAGTACTTCTTGGTATCTTTTATAGGGCTCTGAGGGGTTATAGCTTGGGCCAAATATGAATGAGGCCCTGGATGACAGCAGCAGGAGGAGGAGGAGGAGGAGGAGGAGGAGGAGGAGGAGGAGGAGGCGGTGGCGGCGGCAAGTTTCATGCCTGTTGCATCACCAATAAATGTATTAAAACACTGATTCTCAATCCCACTAGCAAAATGTAAGTGTGCATGTTTGATCATTTGCTAGGACTGGCTGTCATAACTATTTAAAACAACTAAAGTTTGTCTTATAGATCTGGAGGTGGGAAGTCCAAGATTAAGATGTTGTCAAGGTTGGCTCATTCGGAGCTCCTTGGCCTTATAGAAGCACCCCCACCCACCCAACCCCTGCCATCCTCCTCTTCACACAGAACACTGTGTTCTGTGTCTAAATGCCCCCCTCTTTATGAAGAATCCAGTGCTAAAGGCTAAGGGACTGCCCTAATGACCTCATTTAATCAATTTGGTGACCACCTGGCCACCTCCTGAGGTACAGGGGGTTACTAGGACTTTTGTGGGAATTTGGGAGAGAGACAACTTTCAACACATGGCAGCTTGTTTCACCACAAGGTCACCACCAGAGCTCGAGCTGCAACCTTTTGAAACTTACATTTAACAGTTGCACATTAATTTCTAGAGAGGCTGTTCTCTCAGCCTGTCTGTGCATTCAAGGAGGAAAGGGGTTCGTGTTTCCTTCCAGCAGCCCTGTAGAGATGCATTCCAACTCCTCCTAACTTCAGCACCAGCTAGAAAGTGATCACTTCCATCAGGAAAAGACTTAGGGGCCAAGAGGAGAAAGAGGGAGAGAGAGAGATGGGGAATGGGAAGCTGGGGAAGGGGAGGAGGAAGAAGAAGAGAAAAAGAGAAAGAGAAAAAGAGGAAGAGAAAGCAAGAGAAAGAGACCACTACGGAAGGAGATGTAGCCCATCGAAGAGTACTTCCCTGGAATTGGTCCCCAGCACTAAAGAACAAATGAACATAAGACATTTTCGGATGTTAATTTTTATTTCAGGGCTTGATTTTAGGGCCTGGGCGCTGACCCTTAGCCTTTTCCCTCAAGTCTGGTGCTCTACCACTTGAGCCACAGCTCTACCTCTGGCTTTATTTTGGTAGTTAATTGGAGAGAGACGTTTCATGGCCTTTCCTGCCTAGGCTGGCTTTGAACTGTGATCCTCACATCTCAACCTCCTGAGTAGCTAGGATTACAGGGGTGAGCCACACCTCCCTCTAGGGTTCATTCTTTTTTTTTTTTTTTTTTTTTGGCCCAGTCGTGGGCCTGAACTCTGGGACTGGGCACTGTCCCTCAGCTCTTCAGCTCAAGGCTAGCACCCTACCACTTGAGCCACAGCGCCACTTCTGGCTTTTTTTTTCTGCTTATGTGGTGCTGAGGAATCAAACCTAGGGTCTCATTCACACAAGGCAAGCGCTTTACCACTGAGCCACCTTCCCAGCCCCAGGGTTCATTCTTGTGGCTTGTACATTCTATGCATTTTTAAAAATGCAGGATACAAGGTATCCACCTAGGATCATTATGGGGAGGGATACTGTCCCCCTAAGTTTCCACATTTCATCTCTCCATCCCCCCATTTCTCCCAACACTGGGAACCACTGCTCTCTTCTGTTTTACTTTTTCCAGAATGTTGCAAGTTGGCCTCATACAGGATGAAGCCTCTTCAGATGGGCTTGTCATCTAGTAGCCTGCATTTGCATTTCCTTGTGTTTTCCTGTTGTACTCACTCATTTTTGTTTGTGGCCAGTACTGGGGTTTGCTCAAGGCCTCACCCTTGGTCAGCTTTCCTACTTTCCTGTCAGAGTTGATTTGCAATTCTCAGAGCTGTCTCCTATGTGGCTAGGATTACAGGCATGAGCTACCAGTACCTGGCCACCAGCCCATTTCTTTTTGCAATAATAATATTCCATTACCTTGATATCCCGCCATCCATCTCATCATCTGCTGAAGGACATCTTGGTGGCTTCCAGGTTTGGGCAATTAGGAAGAAAGCTGCTGAAAATGCTTGTGTGCAGGATTTTATGTGCACATAAAATTTCAAATCATTTGGATAAATACCAAAGAGCATACTCCTGGACTGTAAGGAAGAATATGTCTACTTTTCTAAGAAACCATCAAACTGTCTTCCATACATGGCTGAGCCATCTTTCATTCTCCATGGATGGATTTTCCTTTTGTTCCACCACATCCATTGGGTATGCTTTTTTTTTTTCTAGCACAAGGCATTTAAATTTTTTTTTTTTTTGTTGGTCATGGGGTTTGAACTCAGGGCCTGGGCACTGTCTCTGAGATCTTCTCAAGGCTAGTGCTCTACCAACTGAGCCACAGCACCACTACTGGTTTTCTGGTGTTCACTGCAGATGAGTCTCACAGCCCTTCTTGCCTGAGCTGGCTTGGAACCGCAGTCCTCAGATCTCAGCCTCCTGAGTAGCTAAGATTACAGGCATGAGCCACCAGCTCCTGGCTTATTGTTATTGTTTTATTATTATTACAATACTGGGGGTTCTCATGTTACTAGGCTAGCACCCTACCACTTGAACTACAGCTCTATTTTTGGCTCTTAGATGCCTTATTCAAGAGTCTCATGAACTTGCTTGCTCAAGCTGTCTTTGAACTGAGATCCTAAGATCTCAGCCTCTTGAGTAGCTAGGATTTCAGACATGAGCTGCTAGTGCCTGACTTTTCTCTGACTCAGAGGAGAAGAGGACCAGGTGCTATTAGGAGAAATGGCAGCATGGAGGAGGCGCAAACTGTCTATTGCAGGATCACAGAAATCCCACAATGCCCTCTACTCAGCTTCAGGTGAGAACACTGATATGCTTGTTTTCTTAGGAACATAAATCTTTGTTCAGGAGGGGCCATGTTGCCCATGAACATTGCTAACACAGGAATTTCCTGGTACTTGGAAGGTCCAGTAAATACCTATTACATAAATATAATTACTTTGGGACTTTTAACTAGCTTGGGAGGTATGTGGAGGAGTGTTAGTTTCTAGATAATTCTTTAAAATTAAGAAAAAGCAAACACAAAGCAAACTGTGGCAAGAAGAACCAAAGAGAACCTATTTCTTTGTTAAGACATTTATTTTGGTTACAATTTGAGTGTTTTAACACATTTATTGGTGATGCAACAGGCATAAAACTTGCCTTTTTTTTTTTTTTTTTGCAGTGCTGGGGATGGAACCCAGGGCCTCATACATATTTGGCCCGAGCTATAACCCATCAGAGCCCAATTTAAATGTTTTCACAAATCCCCCTCAAGGCTGGCAGTTGGTAATCAGGAACAAAGGTTACGCTTCCAACCAGTCTTCTCTCTCACCCTGAGACATCTCTATTTTCAATCCGGAGAGAATCCTCATTGGCTTCTTCAGTGATTCCTGACACCAGTTTTATGACAAATTTTCCTGCAAGGAACGGTCCTACTACCTTCATATTTAAGATCAGTGCTTATTTTGATTAAAACATGAGCCTCTTAACATCTATTCACATCTCAAGAACAGAGCAGCAAAGGCCCTGACATTCTCTTTCCCAATTGTGAGCCATTATCACCACAATGATCGCAGCGCCACCTTCTGGCATGGTTATACATGCCCTCTAATTTCTCACAGGTGTTAAATTCCAAAGAAGGGATTCTGGGAGACCTTGGAAGTCTTTTAGAAGAATCCCTTGTGTGATGGAGGTGGTGGCTTATACTCTCAAGATAACTCAGAGTGACAGGGAAACAAGCCTAACTTATGGGAAGGTAGATTGCTTGGAGACTAAGGGGGGAGAAAAAACCTGCCATTCTTAACTTGTGCTGGATGGGGGTGGGGATGGGGTCTCTTACAGTCCAAGAAAGGGATCCTGTCTAAGGAGGGGAGAAGGGTACCCTGAGTTCCTAGTCCACCCCTTCCCAGGGGTCTAAGGCCGATCAAGAAAGGCCCCCACTCACAGCTGGGTGTGTGGTACCTCTTAAAATTGACTTATGTTTTGATTAAGAGAGAAGGTAAACCTGGGGGGGTTCTAGGGATTAAAGGTGATCAAAAAAAAAAAAAAATCCTAAATTCTAAGCAAAGGACTCCAAGCTGGGCACAGTGGCTCCTGCCTGTAATCCTAGCTACTCAGGAGACTGAGATCTGAAGATCATGTTTCAAAGCCAGCCTTGGCACAAAAATTCATGAGATTCTCATCTCCAATTAACCAGCAAAAAGCCAATAGTGGAGCTGTGGCATAAGTGGTAGCACACCAGCCTTGAGCTAAAACGCCAAGCAAGAGCACAAGGTCCTGAGTTCACATCCCAGTACTGGCACACACACACACACACACAAAAGGCAAAATAATCCCAGAGGAAAAGCAATGACCCTCCCAATAGCCCTTTTGCCTTATGTCCAACAGAGGCCTTCAAGAGGCCATGGTCACCGCCCAAGTGGTTGTGGCCGTCTTATGGGCTGCCTTAGGGCTGCTTCCTGTGACTGGATGAAGAACTGCACACTCTAACCCACTGGGGGTGGTGCTTTTCCCTTCCTTCTCCAGGGTGAGGGCAGGGGTGAGTCACATACCTGGAGCTCCCCCCAGGGAACTTGTTTGAGAGGCTTGAAATTTTGCCCTATTCTACCTTAAAAAGCCAGGCAACTCTGGGCAACACCCTTCATCATCCTGTATACCAGTCCTTTGGATGGGGGTGGGGGAACTAACATTACAGGAACAGATTCTGTCAATTTCTGATTCACTGTGAGCATCAGGTTAAGTCAGATGGGAACAGAAGCCAGCCCACTGCGAAGCAGATGCCCCCTGCACTCCTGCAAGCCAACCTAGACAGCTCAGTAGCCAGAAAAGATGGCAGATCCTAGCTATTCAGGACAGCTATGGTCACAGAGGGAAATGGGGACAGTGACTGTCACCTTGCTCCTGGTAGAGAGCTTTATATCTGGGAGTAAGGCTTTGAGGGGCACTTGCCTCTCCGCCTCTTAACCAAGATGCTCCCAGGCAGCTTGGAAAAACACATTCCCCACTTGATGTGCTAACACAATTTTAAATGGAAAGCTAAATTTTAAATAGGCAACAACAACAACAACAAAAAATCCCTGATATGTCTCTGACTTCTCTTGCAAAGTCTTCTCTTGCAAAGATGTGCAAGGGATTCCACGTGAATTCAGGCTCCTGGGAGCTGGGACACACCTTCTGGAATAACACTCCAACATTTGACACTTCCATACAGAAGGGAATTGCATCCACTTTGATGAGACACCCATACACCAGGTGCTGAGGTGTGGCCCACTCTGCCATCCTGAGTGACCCTGAAGATATACACAGCATCTCGGCCTTTTCTTTCAAACAAGAACAGATTGTTCCAATAAGACTGTTCAAAATAACACTATCTTCTGACAAATGTGCACGCGTGTGAAGGCTGACCCATTCAAACACCATCCTGAAAACTCCCTAATTGGATGTTTGGGGGTTTTTTGTTTTGTTTTGTTTTGTCAGTTGTGGGGCTTGAACTCTAGGCCTGGGCGCTGGTCCCTCAGCTCTTCAGCTCAAGGTTAGTGCTCTACCACTGGAGCCACAGTGCCACTTCCGGTTTTCTGGTGGTTTATTGGAGATAAGTCTCACAGGCTTTTCTGCCTGGGCTGGCTTTGAACTGAGATCCTCAGATTTCAGCCTCCTGAGTAGCTAGGATTACAGGCGTGAGCCACCAGTGCCCGGCTGGGGTCTTTTTTTGTTTTGGTTTGTTGGCTCTGCCATGAATGAAGGCCTCATCTGTCTCCAGTACTGCCAGCAGAGAGCTATCAGAGCCACCTATAGGTAGGACCCTTCATTTCCCTGCCAGCACCCCAGGCTATATGAAAGAAGCACCCCTACCCCCATACGCATACATGCTGTAATTGGCCAACTTCTGCTTTCTGTTCTTGGAATAGCAACCTGGACAGAAAGCCATTAGCTTGAGTGTCTTGGGCTTGGCCAACACTATAATTCAAGACAAAACCCTTGTAATTTCTCCAAACAATGGGGTTGTTTTTTGGATTTTTCTTTTTAATAGGCTGGACCTCAATATGCCCTGAGACCTCATTCTTCTAAGAAGTAAAGGAATAGATCGGGTCCCAGGGGGAAAAAAATTCCCTAAGAGCAGATTGAGAAATCAAGCTTCCTAGGGAGAAGTTGGGGAGGTGGGGAGGGAAGGGATGGTAGGGGGAAAACAAAGGAGGGGATAACAATACTTGATAGGAAGTGTACTCATTACCTTACTCATGTAACTGTAACCCCTTTGTACAATATCTTTACAATTAAATATATAGATTAAAAAAAAAAAGAAAACAAGCTTCCAAAAGCCACATTTTGAAAATTCTAGATGGAGCTGAGTCCTCTGGGAAAGTCTGTCTACCTCTGGGGGCCTCTTGGTGGAGTAGATATTTCTCATTAGGGAAAGCATTCAAAGGCAGACTCTTCATGAGAATTTCCATCTACTCACTGGAGTCCAGAGCAGGGAGTGGGAAGCGAGGAGACCAGGTGATAGGTGACAGGTAACCATCTGACCTTTACTGGGCTCAAGGTGATAAGGTCTCCATAGTTGGGGAGCGAGGGAGGTTCCTAAGGACCCCTCTGAAACACATCATGCCTTAAATACTCCCTCAACCCTCTGTTCTGGGCCATCAAGAGGACTGCACACTGCAGGCCTCCCTGGGTGACCCTTCACCACCTCAGGGACAGGACATCAATGAGAAGAACAGGACAAGAAGGGAACAAGAATGCCCTCCTCAGCAAGCTTTTTTATGTGCTCCCCAGGGGGGAAGTGGCCCCGGGCTGTGTTGGGATAGACGAGTGCTGTGTGACTCTGGGGGTGGGGGACACTGATATTCTTAAACATGGTGGCTTGGGACACCCTCGGCCAGGGCCTCCCCATGTCAGACCTCCAGAAAAGAGGCCATGAGGGCACCCTACAGTTTCAACTTCCCCTCCCTGATGAGTCTGCCATTGAGGTGGCAGAGCTGGGCCAGGAAGCCGTCGTTGGGGCCGATCTCACGGTTCTGCCTCACAATGCTCACAGCAGACCTGACGTCCATCTTCTGGCGCATCATCAGGTATGCGATGACTAGAGTTGGGGAGCGGCTGTACCCCTCTCGGCAGTGGACAAGCACCCGGCCTATAAGAAATGGGAAGATACAGTGAGCTAGGACACACGATCATTCCGTGATGCATGTCAAAACTCATCCACAAGCCAGGCACTGAAGTTCATGCCTATAAACCTAGTTACTCAGGAGTCCAAGAACAGAGGATCACAGCTTGAAGCAAGCCTGGGTAGACAAGCACACAAGTCCACCATGCTTCCAGGCAAAGCTCCTACACCACATCCTCCAATAGCCTCCCTCAACCACCTAAGCAGCACCCAGAAATTGCTCAGGCTCCTCTGAATGGATACTACCAAGTCATTACCAAGATGGAGAGCAAAACCTACCCCTGTCATAGCCTATTGTCCCCTATGTTCTCTAGCCACAGGGTGAGGAGTTGGGTACAGGTGTGGGAGGGCAGGGAGCTGGGAGGAGGGGGAGGTCATAGTGACCTTGAAGGACCACTAAAAAGCCTGTCAGTGGGGTTTGCTGTTTCCCTAGTCCATAAAACTTCTCTCCTGCTGGGCGCAGGAGGTTCACACCTATAATCCTAGCTACTCAGGAGGCTGAGATCTGAGGATCATGGTTCAAAGACAGTCCAAGCAGGGAAGCCTTTGAGACTCATCTCCAATAAACAACCAGAAAACTGGAAATGGCACTGTGGCTCAGGTGGCAGATCATTCGCCTGGTAGCATACACCTGTAATCCTAGCTATTCAGGAGGCTGAGATCTGAGGATCACAGTAGAAGCCAGCCTGGGCAGAAAGTCCCTGTGAGACTCTCATCTCCAATAAACTATTCAGAAAAAGCCAGAAATGGTGCTGTGGCTCAAGTGGTAGAGTGCTAGCCTTGAGCACAAAGAGGCTCGGGGACAGCACCTAGGGCTTGAGTTTAAGGCCCAGGACTGTCAAAAAAAAAAAAAACAACAAAACAAAACAATGGCCAGGAGCTGGCTGCTCATATCTGCAATCCTAGCTACTCAGGAAGCTGAGATATGAGTATCATGGTTCAAAGCCAACCAGGGTAGGAAAATATGTGGGACTCTTACCTCCAATGAACTTCCAAAAAGTCAGAAATGGAGCTGTGGCTCAAGTAGTAGAGAGCTGGCTAGCCTTGAGCCAAAAAGCTCAGGGACAGGGCCCAGGCCCTGAGTTCAAGCCCCAGCATTGGCACACTTACAACAAAATAGTGGAACCAGTTAAAAGATGTTTAAGATGGAGAAGGAGGTAAGGGAAAGTGATGGGGATGAGACTGACTGGAATACATTTGTATATATGTGCGAATGTCACAAGGAAACTCTCTTTGTACAGTAAAGTACGCTAGTGAAGAAAAATTAAGTGAACATGCAATTCAAAAAAGAAAAATGAAAACCTTCTAGAGCAGGGCACTGGAGCTCACACCTGTAGTCCTAATTAGTCAGGAGACTAAGACTTGGAAGATTACAGTGCAAAGCCAGACTGTACAGAAAAGCCTGTGAAACTTCATCCCCCAAAATAACCAGTAAAAAGCCAGGTTCGAGGCATGGCTCGAATGGCAGAGCACCCAGCCCAGCAAGTTCAAGGCCCTGAGTTCAAGCACCAGTATGAGCAAAACATAAAGCAAAACTTCTCTCCTGAGCCTGAAACCTGTCCTGGGTACCTAGTAGACTAGGAAACTGTTTACTAAGGTTTCTTTGGACAAAGGGAGGCCGCTGGGGCCTGTGGACTAGGACAGCCCAGGTCAAAGCTGCCACGCATTTTTTCCTGGATGACAGGTCCCTTACCGTTCTTGTGAGCCAAGGCCTGGTCAATAAAGTCTGCAGCCCTTTCAAAGTATGCACTTAGGTTGAATTCCTGTGTGTCATTGGCCTTGATGCCCAGGTAGGTGATGCCGGAGTCCTTGTAAAAGTTGGCATTGGTGTTGACATGCATGAAGGATCTGCCCTCGGCAGCATTTAGGACATGGGTGATGCCCAGTTTTTGCAGCTTGGGGATGTCCTGAGCCACAGTCCTGGACAGGAGAGAACAGTATAGAGGGTGGTGAATTGACACACTGCAGCCCCTTGACTGAAGATGGACACAGACTCTTGACAAAGCAAAGGGACTTTCTATGCACCGGCTCCTGCGGGCTTCTCCCACTCCTCTTATGACCTCTCCCCTCTTCCAGCCATCTCCAATTACAGCAGCTTCCCCAAATAGACTGGCACTTTCATGCCCATGCTGTGCCTTATGCCACCCTGTGCCACCTTTTCTGCAGGCAGGCAATTTCTCATCTTTCACCACTCTCGGCAGTATATTCTTGTTTGCTCCTCATGGCATCATGCTCCCTGCGTCGTGATGGTGGTAGTGGCACAGCCAAGAAGTTAAAATGGGTTCTGGAAGAGGAACGCTACTGCATTGCTGGTGGGAATGTGTACTAATACAACCACTTTGGAAAGCAGTCTGAAGGTACTTCAGAAAGCTAAATATAGACCTCCCCTATGACCCAGCCCTACCACTCCTAGCATCTACCCTGAACAACAGAAACCAGGATACAAGGACACATGCATCTCCATGTTCATTGCAGCACTGTTCACAATAGTCAGGATATGGAAACAACCCAGATGCCCCACTACAGATGAATGGATCCAAAAATTGTGGTATCTATATACAATGGAATATTACACAGCCATTAGAAAGGACAAAATAATGACATTTGCAGGGAAATGGATGGAACTAGACCAAATCATTTTGAGCAAGGTAAGCCAAGAGCAAAGAGGCAAATGGCACATGGTCTCCCTGATATTTGGATGCTATAGCCAAAATGCAAGAAGATATGACAAAGTAAACAGGACTCAAGAAACAAAGACTGCCACTCACTTTGTCATATCATTGCTGAATGACTCCATGTTCTTGACCACATATATGGTGTGTGTGTGTGTATATATATATATATATATATATATATATATATACATATATATATATATATGCATGCAATGGAGGGAAGCTAAGAGGAGGACACAGAATCAGTGGGAAATGGGAAAACATACAACAGAGGGGCCCATCATCTGCACTGGACATAGATGAAAATGAACTAAGCAACCCAAAGACAGTGATGGGAAGAGGGGAATGAGAGGAAAAGAAGGAACAGCTTACAGCAAAAGGAAAGATATGTAAATAATTGCCTGATGTGGAAGAAATAATTGTATTGTCAAAGCTCATAGAATTCACAAACTTTATAGACCATGATAATGACACTTTACCTTGTGAAGGTTAAACTGTGTTTGTGACTTTAACTAAGTATCACTATTCCATAATACTGTGAAATATGTGAAATTTATGTAATCACCTAATCTCAATTTAAAAAAAAAAAGTGAGAGAAGAGTGAGTTAGGAGCGATGGGTGACAGTGTTATCAGACACTTTGTATTCATATACTGTTTTGTAGAATGAGAACTTCTTTGTACAACTACTTAAAGATAATAAAAAAAATTAAAAAACAGTGAAATAAGTCCCAACTTTGTACAATCGATTTTTAGGATTAAAAACAATGAATATAAAATATACTCTGTAGACATTCATATATGTACAATAAAATTGTATATTAAAAAAGGGGGAGTTCTGGAGCCAGGCAGCAGTGGCTCACTCCGGTAATCCTAGCTAACTCAGGAGGCTGAGATATGAGGATCTTGATTCAAAGCTAGCCCAGGAAGGAAAGTCCATGAGACTTACCTCTTGTCTCCAATCAACGATAAAAAAGCCAGAAGTAAAATTGTGGCTCAAGTGGTAGAGCATCCGCCTTAAGTGAAAAAGCTAAAGGATGGTGCTGGGGCCCTGAGTTCAAGCCCAAAAGAATGAATGAATGAGTAGGCTCTGGTATGCAATGGCCACAAAGGAATATATAGATCAATGGGATGGAATAGGAGGTCTAGAAACATGCCTCCACAGCTACAGACATGCTATTTTTTTACCAAGAAACCAAAACTCTGCATTAGAGAAAAAGAAGCTTCTTCACCATTGGTGCTGGGAAACTGGTTATCCACATGAAAGGTCTAAAATGGATCTCTATCTCACCATGTGTAAAAATCAATTCAAAACAATCAAAGACTTTAATGTAAGACCTGAAACATTAAAACTATTGTAGGAGAATTCAGCACAAACACTCAAGAGATCTAAGCCTAGGCAAGGACTCTGTGAACAGGACTCCAATTGTTCAGGAAGAACAAGAATTGACATATGGGATGGCATCAAATTAAAAAGCTTTCTGCAGCTGAGGCGCTGGTGGCTCTCGCCTGTATCCTTGCAACTCAGGAGGCTGAGATCTGGGATGATGGTTCAAAGCCAGCCTGGGCAGGAAAGACCTCCTGAGACGCTTTTTTTCTTTTTTCTTTTTTTTTGGCTGTTCATGGGGCTTAACTCTGGGCTTGGGCACTGTCCCTCAACTCTTCAGCTCAAGGCTACTCTACTACTTGAGCCACAGCGCCACTTCTGGTTTCCTGCGTGGTTTATTGGAGATAAGAGTCTCACGAACTTTCCTGCCCGGGCTGGCTTTGAGCTGCAATCCTCAGATCTCAGTCTCCAGTGTAGCTAGGATTACAGGCGTGAGCAATCAGCACCTAGCCCCCTGAGACTCTTATCTCCATTTAACCACCAGAAAACTACAAGTAGAGCTATGGCTCAAAGTGGTAGAGCACTAGCCTTGAGCAAAAGAGCTCAGAGACAGTGCCCAGGCCCTTCAAGCCCCTTGACCAAGAACAACAACAACAAAGAGCTTTCTGCATATCAAAGGAAATGATTATCAGGGAAAAGAGACAACTTACAGAATGGAAGAAAATCTTTGCCTGGTATTCATTGAACAGGGATTCATATCTAGAATATATAAAGAACTCAAGAAATTAAACACTAAAAGAACAAATAATCCAATTAATGAGTAGGCAAATGAAGTAAGAAACGTTCACAGAAAAAGTACCAATTCAACAGGCCAACAGCATGAATTTGCACAACAAATGCTGGCTGGGATGTGGGGAAAAGGAACCTATGGCACTATTGGTGGGACTGTACATTTAGTATAATCACTTGGGACAGTGGTCTGGGACATTGAATTTCCTACAAACCAGCCTTACCACTCCTGGGCTCCTACCCAGAATATCACAAGCAAGAATACCATACAGATAATTGCACATCCATGTTCATTGTTTCACTACAATAGATGAGTGGGTCAAAAAAAATGTGATACTTACACACAGTTGAATTTTACCCATCAATTAGAAAGAATATTAAAGCCGGGAGCTCACACCTTGTAATCCTAGCTACTCAGGAGGCTGAGATCTGAGACTGTGATTTGAAGCTAGCCCGAGCAGAAAAGACCCTGTAAGACTCTTATTTCCAATTAGCCACTCAAAAAAACTGGAAATAGAGCTGTGGTTCAAAGTGGTAAAGCACTAGCCTTGAGCAAAAAAGCTCAGGGACAGCACCTAGACCCTGAGTTCAAGCCCTATGACTGGGGGAAAAAAAAAAGAGAGAAAGAGAGAGAGAGAAATGTACCCATCACCTGACTTATGAAACAGTAACATCTGTACAACATCTTAGTACCAATACAAATAAGTAAATATTTTTTCAAAGAAGTACTAATAGCCAATAAATACATAAAGAAAGTCTCAACATCTTTAACCATAAAGGAAGTGGAAATTAAAGCAACATTGGGATTATTCCATTTCACCCCAGTCAGAATGGGGAGCACATGAAGAAACCAGACAAAAAAGATGCCAGTGAGGATGCAGGAAAAACAAACCCTTTACACTGTTGATGGGAATGTAAATTAGCAAAGCCACTATGGAGATTCCTTACAAACGAAAAATAGAATTACCACGTGATTCTGCTGTACTATTCCTGGACATGCATCCAAAGGAACACAAGTCAGTGTACAATAGCTACACCTGTGCATCCATGTTCATGCAGTAGCCGTCACAGCAGCCAAGCTATGGAATCAGCTCAGGTGCTCAACAAAAGATGAATGAGTAGTGAAAATGTGGTCTATATACACAATGCCATACAGAAGAATGACATTATGTCACCTATAGGAAAACTGGATGGAGCTGGAGACCACCATGTTAAATAAAGCAGATGGAGAGAGACAAATATCATTTATCCTTTTATATGCAGAATCTACACATGACTGCCAAAGGGAGACTGTGTGGGGGTGGGGAAAGCAAGAGGCAAGAATTTGAGGGGGTGAACATGATTGAAATACTTTACATTCATATGTGAAGATAGAGTAATAAAACCCTGAAAAAATAGTTTTAAAAGTGGGGGGGGGGAGTGGGAACAGGAAAAAAAGTAATAGAAAGGACAAATTCAATCAAGGCACATTATATGCATAAATGTCCATAACACAATGAAATTCATTTGAATAACTAATATATGCCAATATAAATGGGGGTTGTAGAGAGCCAAATGTGGCAGTGTATGCCTGTAATCCTAGTACAGGGAGGCTGAGGCAGGAGTAACATGAGTTCTAGGACAACTTAGACTTGTCAGTGAGTTAGAGAGCAGCCTGAGGTACATAATGCAGATTGTGCCCGACAAACCCAAACAAAACTAATCGGGCTCTGGAGCCTGGTTTCTGAATCTAGCCCTGAAATTACCAGCCAGGAAACCTTGAGCAGAACACTTAACCTTTCTGGCAAAATGGGAGTGATCACAGGGCCACTGCCTGGGTGGTTTTTAGTGTCAGAGGAGCCTTCGGTGCCCAGAACCTGACTCTGCAGTAAGCACTACTATTCCAACCAACTTGGCCTATGCTTGTTTGTTCAGAAGCCCAGGCTCTGAGAAACTTGAGAGAGGAACCATATCTACTTCTGATCTTTCTCTCCAGCACCTACTATGGATTCTGGAACAAAGCAGGTGTTCAGTAAACAAGTGGTAGATGAGTGTGGGAGAATAAAGTCATAACATGCCAGGCCCCTTGAAGGATCTGTCCTGCCATGTTCCATCACCCACAATTCTGAGGCTAAGCACTTTGGGATGAGTGGCCCCAAAGAACCATGGTAGTTATAAAGTATCTGATCTCTTTTCTTTCATCTTACAGCAACAACTCAATTCAAACAGCAGTCAAAGTGGTCCTCGCGTGTGATCCAGGGATGAGGTGGGCAAAGATCCTGCTCTTGATGTCCAGCCCTGCTCTGTCTTCCTCCTCCCTCTGCCTCTCTCACTCACATCAACTGCAAAGCCTGGAGACCCAGAAACCACTGCTTATGCAAGTTCCGCCTCTGCTCTGGGATGTGGGTGGAGCCTTGATTTTATTCAGTCTTTGCCCCAGCACTCAGTTGGCTAAGTCAAGGTCAGATTTTCATAGAGGGCATGGGATGTGGCTTCCATGATGGCCATCACACTTGCCACTTGAGCTACCACCACACACGTATAACCTTGGTTTCTACTTGGGAAGCAACAATAGCTGAATTCACCAAACTGCCTTGGCAAGCAGGTTTGAGACCAGCAAGCCCACATACTGCTTGGGTAGGTTGTGGGTGGAAAGTTGCCTAGGATTTTGCAGTTTATTGGACCTCTCAATGACACCGTAAGACTTTGTGGCCATCCATGCTCAGGGCACTACATAGGATTGCAATAAGCAGTTGCTGGTAAAACACAGAAGGGTCTCCACACAAACACACACACCCTTTCTTGCCTTCTCAGATTCAACAAATTTACATCCTCATTATTAGTACCATTGTCATAAATGAACACTGTAGTATCTGACACATAATAGGTGCTCAGTATGGTGAGTGATGGATGAGACCTAGCTGAGCCCTGCCTTATAAACCACCTTTAACTGCACATCACCCCATTTCATAGGCAGTCATTGGCAGGCTTAAGCAGCAAGTCCTAAGTGTAAGACAAGAGATACACACATGAACAGGACATAAACCCTGTCTCACAATCACCTGCTCTGGGTTCATACCCTGTGCAGAATGAGAGGAGGAGATACCAGTGTTTGACTTGTAGTCCCCTGGGCTCAGCCCAAGGAGCTCCCGGCTTTGATAAGCAGGTCCTTAGAGCCCACCCTGGCTCTCAGGACACCCTAAGCTAGACATTCTTTTGGCTGCTATTTGAGCACTTCTCAGAATGTCTAACGCCAGTTCCTTCTGCTGCTGGGAAAATCTCACTATTGTAATTTGAATTACAGAAAGCCGAGAAAAAAACCAAGGTGTTCAGAATTCCTAAGTGACAAAAAGTGCACTTCCTGATAGCCAGCCAGCCTTTCCCAGGTGATGGCTCAGGCCCTTCATGAAGTTTGTCATTTTGATTTCTCCCATTTAAGTCTCAACCCTATCTGGAGATAGGAGAAAGGGCTATAGGAGACCCCAGGCCCAGCTTCTAGTCTGAGGCTGAAGACCACCGGGCCAAGGGAAAGTTCCCCGCCCGGATTGTGACGTCAGCCCGTTGCCATGGCAGCGAAGGCAGACATTCCGCGGTGACCTCACTGCGGAGCCAGGCAGCTGTCACATGATGCGCGGGCCGGCGATAGAGGGCCACCTGTTCTAAGTGAACATGGTAGCCTTGACCCCGCCCAAAGGCGAGCCCCAAGCGGGCGGTGGCTGAAACCCGACGGGGTACCCCACGGTCTCCCCGTGCTCCGCAACCAGGAAGGATAGCGGGGCCCGGCTCGGATCCAGCCTCGGGGCTCCACGCGCGGGAGTGGGCGTCGACTCCAGCGCCATCCCCAGTCCCCGTTCTTTGCTCTCGGAGGACCAGTCGCACCCAGATTCCTCCAGACTCGCGCCCCGAGATACCCCCAACCCCAGCCCCCGGTGGGCGGGACGCCGGTCCGCTTGGGAGACTCACGCATTGCCCACGTAGATCCTCGGGGTGACTTCGTTGCAGGGCTGGCTCGGGAGGCTGTAACACCCAGTGCCATCCGAGAGCAGGTCGTTGAGATCTTGCACCGAGAGGTCGAAAGGGCCCGACATGGCGGCGGCGGCGGCGGGGGCCCGGCACGCCCGGCCAAGAGCGAGCAAGGCGAGGCGAGAGCCGCCGGGTCAGCTGGGCGGGGCTAGCGAGTCGGGAGCCGCTCCGCCCCGCCCCAGGGGCGGGCCCGCCGTGTGGGCGCGGGAAGCTGAGGGGAGCGGGCGGGGCGGAGCGCTGGGGGCGGAGCGCTGGCGGGGCGGAGCAATGGGGAAGGGGGCGGGACGTGGGAGCGGGACGAGGGTGGAGCGGGGCAATGGGGCGGAGCAATGGGAGCCGGGCGAGGGTGGGGCTGGAGCAATGGGGCGGGGCGCTAGGGCGGGGCTGTGGTGGGCATGGTGAGTACGGGGCGGAGCCATGGGCGGGGCGGAGCCATGGGCGGGGCGGAGCCATGGGTGGGGGCGGTGCCACCTCCTCGTGGCGCGGACGCCTACCACCCCACTCCCTCGCTCCTTCAGGATCCTGCAGCAGGTTTGTCGCGGAAAAGCTGCCCGTCCTCTCCCACCCTGATGCTAAAGCAGTTCATAAGCTGGGGATCACAGAAGCTTCCTTCACTGCAACCAAATGCAGAGTGCCAAGGTGCTTTTTCAGGATGTCAGGGATACTAGGATTCAGCCCTGAGATCTGTCCCTGCTGCGGGACATCCCAACCCCAACCCCCGTCCAGGTCAGAGATGCAGACTTTTCACCACCCCAGATCTGCTGAGTCCATGCCCAGTTTACCGGCCCCAAGGTAAGTCCAAGTCTTTGAATCCCCAACTCTGAGGCACAGCTGTTTTCAACGAGAGGCAAGTCAGCATGGAGTTTGAAAGTGTGAGCTTAGCCAGGCCCCAGTGGCTCATGTCTGTAATCTTCCCTACTTAGGGAAGTCGAGATCTGAAGATTGAAATTCGAAGCCAGTCAGGAAAGTCCATGAGATTCTTATCTCCAATTAACAAAAGGCCGGAAGTGGAGCTCTGGCTGAAGTGGTAAAGCACCAGCCTTGAGCAGAAAAAAACTAAGAGACAGTGCCCAGGCCCTGAGATCAAGCCCCAGTAACAGGCACAAGAAAAAAAAAAATAGTTTGCCGTTCTCTGCAAGCCCATGCTTGAAGTTCTGACCCCCAGGAATTACTTAACCTCTCCTACCTTGACTGCTAATTATAAAAAGGAAATAATAATAATAATAATACAAGCTGAGAATTCCTGGTCTGGAAATCCAAAATGTTTTCAAGATCTATAACTTTTGAGTGTGGACATGCCACAAGTGCAACACTTTGCGACTAACCTTCTGTAACAGGTCATAGTTGAAACGCAGACATACTGAAAGTACTGTACAAAATTGTATTTAGACGGGTCTCAGACCCTTGATATCTCATTACATATATTCTCTTTCCAATAAGGGATATACAGCATCTAACTCCTAGTCTTGTTTCAAAAGCTTAAATGTGGGCTGGGAAGTTGGCTCAGTGGTAGAGTGCTTGCCTCCCATGCGTGAGGCCCTGGGTTCGATTCCTCAGCACCACATAGCAGAAAAAAGCCAGAAAATGGCTCTCTGGCTCAAGTGGTAGGGTGCTAGCCTTAAACAGAAGAGCTGAGGGACAGCGCCCAGGCCCAGAGTTCAGCCCTCAGGACCAGGAGGGGAAAAAAAGCTTAAATGTGACCTTCAAGAACATGCGTAGCCTGTAATCCCAGCACCCAGAAGGCTGAGGCGGGTCTAGTTTGAGGCCAAGTTTGGGATACCTAGTAAGATCCTCTTGAAGGAAGGAGGAAGGGAGGAAGGAAGGAACTAAAGAAGGAAGGAAAAAGGGAAAGAGGGAGAAGGAAAAGGGGAAGAGAAGGAAAAAGGAAAGGAAAGAGGAGGGAGGAAGATAAAGGCATCAGCACCAATAGTGATTTGTGTTAGTCCTATCACCCTGTGCTTATGTGGAGAAAATTCATTCTCTTTAATAGCCCTTCCTAGAGCAGACTGTTTTGAGCCCCATGGGGTCAGCAGCTCAGCCCTTCCAGAGCTCCCACTCAGGACCAATGACAATCTCTGCCCCCAGAAGAAAGCTGATCTCTCCCCCACTGCCATGAAAGGCAGATTTCCTTCTCTAAAGGGGCAAATATAGTCCTAGAATTCAAAAGCCCACATTCTGAATCCAGCTCTGTCACTAATTTAGTTCTCAAGCTAATTTGCTGCTGCTCTGGATTTGTGTCTCTATCTGCAAAATGAAGGAATTGGTTCAGATTACCATTCAGATCCTCTTACACTTTCTGGAAAAGCCAGTGGTTTGAGTAAACCATGGCACTAGAGACTACTTGGCTTATAGACCCAGGTCTGTCATGGAGGCTTGGAATTCTCCCTCTTCCCACCACACTTGGTCCATCCCATCCATCCCAGCACACTTCCTTTTCTTCCAGTATCACCAGTACCTACATTTCAGGCAGGTGAGAGTTCCTGAGTCCCTCATCCCTTATCTTGACATGCATCCAGGTTGACTCTTGGACAAAGGAACCCAGCACATAGAGTAAGAAATAGTAGAAGAGACTGAAATGCTGAATATCGAGCTAAGTGCTGGCGGCTCATGCCTGAAATCCTAGCTACTCAGGAGGCTACGATCTGAGGATCATGGTCCAAAGCCAGCCTGATCAGGAAAGTCAGTGAGACTATTCTCTCCAACTAACCAGCAAAATGCCAGAAGTGAAGGTGTGGCTCAAGTCGTAGAGCACCAGCTTTGAGAAAAAACCACCCAGGTCCTGGGTTCAAGCCTCAGTACTGGCACAAAAAACAAAAACCCTGATTATTCTGATTTGATCTTAAGCATTGTATACCTATATTGAATTACTAACTCTGCATCTCATAAATATACACAAATTTTATGTCCGTTTCAAGAATACTTAAATAAAAAATAAATTTAAAAAGCAGATGCCAAGAGACACCCAGGAGTGCTCTACAGCTGCTATTCTAAGACTTGTCCTTGATGTCATAACTGAGTAGCTATGACAACCTGTCATAGAAATGACTTAGTACCTCACAGAGGAGCCTACATACCTCATTTCTGAAGTGAAAGTAGGTAGAAAAGATGAACAATTCCCTGGATTATCTAGCCTATCCTGTTATTGTTTCTAATCATAGGCAAACCACAACCTTCAAGAAAAAACTGGATTTCGGCAACTATGCATCTCACAAGAATAGAGTACAAATAGGTAAGTGGGCAGTTGGGGCTAGACCCTATCATTAGAGGTACCAGAGGGGTCACCATAAAAATACCGACAATAAGTCAGGACAATGTTTGGCTGCAGGAAGATATGTCCTCTACTGATCTTGATAAATAAGGCTATCAAAATTTTTTTATCCATCAGGGAATTCCATATTATAGAAACATACGTTTTAAACTCTTTAAATCCAAGAGTTAGAGCTGGACGCCAGTAGTTCATGCCTAAAACCTTAGCTCCTTAGGAGGCAAAAATCTGAGGGTTGTTCCAGGCAGGAAAGTCTGTGAGTCTCTGTGTGTGTGTGTGTGTGTGTGTGTGTGTGTGTGTGTGTGTGTGTGTGTGTGTGTGTGTGTGTGTGTGTGTGTGTGTGTGTGTGTGTGTGTATGTACTGGGGCTTGAATTTAGGTCCTGAATGTCCCTAGGTTTTTTTTGCTCAAGGCTAGCTTGAACCACTTAAACCACAGTTCTACTTCCAGCTTTTTGGTGGTTAAATCTCATGGACTTTTCTTCCCAGGCTGGCTTCAAAGCAAGCTAGAGTATGAAGCCCTGAGTTCAATATACTGAACAATATACCCCTAATATACTGGTATTTAAAAAATTAGGTGTAGCTGGGCACCAGTGGCTCACGCCTATAATTCTAGCTACTCAGGAGGCTGAGATCTGAGGGTGGTTCATGGTTCAAAGCCAGCCTGGGCAGGAAAGTCCATGAGACACTTATCTCCAATAAACCAGAAGTGTTGCTGTGGCTCAAGCGGTAGAGCACTCGCCTTGAGCTGAAGAGTGCAGGGACAGCGCCCAAGCCCAGAGTTCAAGCCCCACACTGACAAAAAAAAAAGTTTTAGGTTTCATCTAAGAGATTTAGAGTATAGGACTTCAGTGACCAATTGAATGAGAGAGAGGCTGTTTTATTGAAAGAGTAATCAACTGTACAAATTAAACTTTTTTTCTAGACTTCACCCTATTTTCACTTCTGCTCAAAAAAAAAAAATGTTAGTTGGGAAAATTCAACCAAGTTGACATTGCTAGACATTGCAGGGTCAGAATTCCACACTGCAGGGCTCCTAGGATGGGCATGGTTTAGGGAAACTTCTAGGATTCCTGTGTGTAACGTTGTTCTTCCATCATCTGTTCTAGTGAAGCCGGCAGTTGATACCAAACCACCGATGGCCCATTCACATCACATTTTAAAATTGAGCAAACTACAGGTATTTGTTCTTAACATCAGCTGATATATTTGACTGATTTTTATCTTTGTCCTAAAGTGATCCAATGCCCCAGATCCTTCTGTCCTTCTAAATACCTACCTAACACTCTGTCCCCCATACTCAGCATACTTGGCTTTCTAAACATGGGTCCATGATCCCCGGAACCCCCAGTATGCCCCTTTCCTATCATCCCTGGAGCTGGGGGGATTAATGCTCAGCCATTGTGGGTGGGAACAATATAGTCATGTGATCACTTTCTTACCAGAGTGAGCAAAAGAAAATTGACAAAATCGAGTATGAAAATAAGCAGCTATGTCAGAAAATTGCCAATGCGCATCGAGGCCCTGCCCAGGTGGACTGCTGGAATGAATATTTATCCAGAAGGTAGTGTTCTTTCTCTGCAGGACAGTTTTGTTTTGTTTGTTTCAGAAGCCAAACTGGATTTTCCCTCTAGCTTGTAAGTGCAGTGTACTCTCAAGCAGGAGGACCACTGGCTTAGTGGGAGAGGGCCAAAGATATCAGGCCAGAGAGAAGGAAGACTTCAACACTGGAAGCCATTCTCTACCTTTGATTTCATCTAAGACACTTTTCAGGGTCTGGTTCCATTTTGTCACAAGAATGCACTGTGTGCTCTTGAAATGACAGTATGGTTTTGCTGTTACATTTCCATAAGTTCACTGC